GCAGAGCTGCAGCCAGAGTTTCCAGCTGCTCTAGAAATTTTATGGAGAAAGTTCAATTGATTTTTTTTCTTTATATGGTGCAGAAATTTTTTTTTTTAAAAAAAAACAACCTACCTTTAATTACTTTCCCAACAATAGTTTGGGCTTTGTGCCAGCTTGGGTAGCAGAAACTCCTCATGGATACCAGTCACAGGCATCAGAAAACTATTTCTTTTTTTTCTGCACTAAGACGCACAGACTCTTTGCGTTGTTTTTTTTGTGTGGCCCATAATGTGGCAGTGGCACAAGGCTTGGGCAAGGGCATGTTCCTCCTCGGCTCCCCTCGGTCTTGCATGTCTCCAGAATGGGAGATGTCTCAGTACGTGTCTAAACACCGGAGCTGGGGTAAAAGCAAGCAAACGCTATTTCACAGTGTTGGCCTACAGCTTAGCTCTGTAACTGTGCTTAATACACGCTCCTGTAGTAAAGCTGTGTTTGATTTTTGGTTTTGAAATGCAGTACTGAGTGTTTTCCAGTTGGAAGTCATCCATTCGGCTGTTTGTTGGTATCTGTTCTCACAAGGCATCCCGTGTCCGTCATGGGCTTCCCTTGCCTACCCCTCTCACGTGAAAGGGTTCAGCTGACTTACAGCTGACAAATAACCCAGCTGAATAATGGTTGTTGGGCTAAATGGGAACCAAACTGAAAAATGATTTTATTTCTGCTTCCTGGTTTTGTTGGAAATAGTCTTCTTTCCGATTTCAGATGAGTTTGTATAATATGGAGGTAGCTCTTGGAAAAACAGGTGCTTAAAGGAGGAGTGCTCTAGTGGGCCAGGGGCATTAATGTAATTAAAAATGGAGATTGCTGTAATAAATACAGGTATCAAAGACTTATTTTTCAACCACCTTTTTAATTAATAAATGCAACCATTGAGATATCAACCAGTTTGGGGTTGTTTTTCTTTTTTTAAAAAAAATTATGCTGGTGAATTGTCATACTGGTGACGGGAGCAGGTTCCTTGGTGTTGGGGTATTGGCTCTGAGGTGGGGGAATGGGATACGGCCTTGTCTTTGTTCAACAGGGTGGTGATACCAAGGAAAAATACACCTTACATGAAACTCATCAGCTATTGCACTTTTATTTTTTTCCCCTCCAGAGAACAAATTCGGGTGGAACGAGTAATGCAGATTTTCCCTCTGGCGATCCCGGAATGTACCAGTTGGACATTACTCTAAGAAGAGGACAGAATTTAGCAGCACGGGACCGTGGAGGTGAGCGTGCTGGTAAACACTGCCTTAACCTTTGGGAAGCTGCATGTCCACTGCCTAAATGTATATGAGGATATTAAAGTTGTAATTCAGGTTTGAATTGTAAGTGTGCCAGTCAAACTCTGCTTAAAATGATGCAGAGGTTCTTTGATCCAAAAGCACAAAGTAAAAGGAGCTAGGGCCAGCTAAACCCACACAGGAGGAGAAATATGATTTAGCTAATACTGGTTTGGTTCTGCTAGATAATTTTCCTCTTTTTGAATGTTTCAAACTGAGAAAGGTGTGATAGGTCTACTTTAACCGTGCAGATTTGTGCTGTCTTGCTTGCCCAGCTGCTGTCTGGCTACTTAATTTGTTCCTTGGCTGCTTAGCTGATAAATGCTGGAGCCACATTACAACAACAGTAAAACCCCTCTATGAGATGTGTCCAGGCTTTACCTGTTGGTCGGTCTGCTGATCACATACTGGCATTTCACAGACTGCTCTCAGGCCTGTACTGCACACGTAGTTCAGATGTAGAAAGGATTCCTAAAGGTATTTTGACCTGCAGGGACACAACAGGTTCACTCAGTGGCTCTGCACAGGCAACTGCAGCTCATATTTAAAATCAGATAAATCAGTAATTCACTTCCTTAAGAGCAATGTGAGCATGATAAATCTGACTAACAGCCCATTTTGGATTTGTCATAATGTATTCCTTGTGAGAGAGAAAAAGCCACAGTAGAAATTTAACTGCAGAAATAGTATTGGACAGGATCTTTCCGTACTTACTGATTAAGGTGCTCGACTGATTTCAGATCTCAAATATGGTAGCAGAAACCTAGAAGGTTGTTTACATTGACAGGAAATTATTCCACTGACATTTATGTCACCGAAACTGAAATTTTAATATATCCACTGTTGCAAGAATAAACTTTTACGGGTATTCTTCCTCTAGGTATATTGGTATTCTATCAAGCTTTGCCTGACATTCGTTATAAATACTCAAATGTTTTTGTTCCATGAGCTAGAGAGACTTGCCCAGTTCCTGAACGATAAGTGTTGTAATTCTGTCATATCCATCATTCCTGTTATTTATAAATGAACAAAAATGCGAATGTAAATGTGATTACTTGTACATGAGGAAAACTTCTGTACTTTTTTTTCCCCATAGTGCAGGAGTCTAGGTCTAGAGTAAACAAAGATAGGAGATTTCGCCTCCAAAGATGGAATCCCAGGTTCTGAAATGAACTGTATAAAACGCAGTATAAACTGTATAAAATGTCAAGTGCTTCAAAAGGTCACTTTGCGAAGCTGCCACTTGAGCAGCAAGGGACCCTCCTCAGGCTGCCTGGGAGGCAACAGGACAAGCGTGGTCTTTCCTCAGCACTTATTAGTCCTGTAGCACAGACACCTCAGTGCGCGGTTGGCGCCCACCCTGTTTTGCAGCCTGTAGTTCACTTTGGATGGTGTACACCTATGGCCTTTCAAAAGGCGTTTCTTTTGAGAAGATACTGGGGAAGAAGGTAGTGTTGGGCTCTGGTTTCACAGAAGAGTCTCAGAGCTTGAGATCTTACCAAAAAAGTGAGATCCCAGAATCCCAGCCTGGCAGGGGCTGGAAGGGACCTCGGGAGCTCACCCAGTGCCACCCCCCTGCCCAAGCAGGCTCACCCAGAGCAGGGGGCACAGGACAGCATCCAGGCGGGGGTTGAAGATCTCCAGAGAAGGAGACTCCACAGCCCCCCTGGGCAGCCTGGGCCAGGGCTCGGGCACCCTCACACTCAACAAGTTCTTCCTCCCGTTCCACTGGAACCTCTTCTGCTTCAGGTTTTGCCCATTGCCCCTTGTCCTGGCACTGGGCACCACTGGGAAGAGTCTGGCTCCGTCCTCGTGACCCCCACCCTTGAGATATTTGTAGGTGGTGATGAGATCCCCTCTCGGCCTTCTCTTCTCCAGGCTGAACAAGCCCAGCTCCCTCAGCCTTTCCTCGTAGGGGAGATGCTCCAGTCCCCCCATCAGCCTTGTTGCCCTCCTCTGGGCTCTCTCCAGGAGTTCCTCATCTTTCTTGAACTGGGGAGCCCAGAACTGGACACAGTGCTCCAGATCCCTGAGTTGCTTTCTGCTCCCTTTCTGCATTTTTTTCCTGTCCCTGAAAAAGCTCAGCTCTCCCATCTCGAGCAACCAAGGGAGTGTTTTACCGAGCCACTGCAAGCTTGTCAGGAAGGAGAACGTGTGTTGCATCTTAGAGAGGTGTAGGAGGTCCTTCAGGCCAGATGGGGAGCTACAGATGTGCTCCTGCCTGCATTGACCAGGTTTCAGATCTCAACAAGGTTTAGGCTTCCAGGACAGAGGCTTTGTTTTGTAAGGGGGAAATACAGAAGGAGCACCTTGTAGTGGGACCCCAAGCCAGGATCCATCCACCCACGACTGAAGGTCCCGGCTGTCATATGCTGTGTTTCTGCTTGGTTTCCCTTTCTCTTGGAGTGACTCAGTGAGATTTTAGGAGCACCTGGAGAACTTGAATCGAGGGGACTTTACAGGCATTAGGTGGGCACTTAGTGGATTTAGGTAGCTGCTGAATGGGAAGTGCACAGAGATTTGGGAAGTCAGTTTTGTCTAAAGCCTCTCTTGAGGGTAATACTTGCTCTTCTTTATTTATTGTTTAAAGTAGCCCTGTGGTAGTCCCTGTGGTGTTTCACTAAGAAACAGGGCTTGTAAAACAGAATTCTTACTGGAGATTTATGTGGGTGCAAGAGGAGGTTCAGCGAGTTCAGGCAAGAAAAACCCCAAAAGTGTTGAAATGCACAGAAAACAAATCTAGCGCTGAAGGTCTTTGCTCCAAATTCTTCATGCCTAATAGGACGTTGGTGGGAAATAATGTCCTGTCCTCTTATTTTGCTGTTAGCATCTGCTATAGCCCCTGACGGAGAACGGCACGGCGAGTCTTGGTCCGGAGCAGGCACCAGCATCGCCTGCGTGCTGCAGCAGTGCTTCTGTCAGGGGTTGGGAGCCAGAAAGTGGTAACAGGACTGTGCAAGGTTATATATCCCAATGCTAAGTGGAGCTACTAGGGCAGATGTGTTGGATATTAAAACCAGAGCTTGGAAGATTTATCCCCGGACTGTCTCAGAGGAGTCTTAGGCTGTAAGCCTGTAACAGCGCATGACAGCCCATTCCTCCCAAACCTTTTCCAGATCCTCTGCTTAAAGCCTGACGATTGAATTTTCTCCAGCTACTGTGAATTTCACGCTAGAAAGAATACTTGGCCTACATGGCAGAAAAGAATTCCATTTTAATTTTAGCTTTTTGTTCTTTAATGTTTGAACTGCAGTTTCACATGCCTTTTTAGAAACCTGCTGCTGAACATATTGCAGTCTTGGAATTCAAAGTTGAATTCTCATGTCGTGAATGTTCTGCACACTTTGTCTTCCCCAAATTTATAAAAAGAGACACCACAACATTCTCAGAAGAAAATGGGAAAGATAGAAGCTATATTTATGTGGCTGGCAATGCCAGCATTAATCACGCCTGTTAGCTGATAAATAGCACCACCGATAGTCACAACAAAAGGGGAACAGAACATTCCTCCTGCAAGGACCAACATCTTGCTGATGTCTCCTCAAATGATGGAAAATAATCCTTTGTAACAGGCAGTATTTGTGCTCTGGTGTGTGCAGTATGACAGAAGCAAATGTAACTTGTCGTGGTTTAACCAGGACATAACTATTCGTTTTAACTCCTCATCTTCACAAGAAATCCTGTCTTGGGTCCGATCCAGCTTTCCTTCCAAGTACCATGGGGCTCTGGTACCGTCACTTCATCTCAGCGATGTGATCAGACAGTTCACATCTTTGCTTCTGGCAAAATCCTGTAGTGACCACAAATGTGGTTTATAACATATGCTTTATTTAAGCCCATCCTAAAGTAAACCATGGTTATATTTAAAAATCTGTTTTCTGAGAGTTTTTCCTCTAGGATTGGGAAAAAAATGTGTAATGTTGTATTTGGTAATATTAACAACTTAACACTATTGCTTACATTTTTATGTTTTCCTTTTCAGTTTTGATTTCTCTTTTGCTCTTTGTCATATACAGTGTTTGTGTAATATCAGATATGTTTATAAGAGTTTTTTCTGGAGTTAAAATTTGTAGGTAAAAAAGACCCCTTTGATTTGTTGCTGGTCTCTGACTTCTTGCATGAGGCGTCTGTGTGGCTATTTCGTATCTATAACGTGCCTTTATAGACGTTTTGCAATATCTTAAATATTGTTTTCAGACAAACAAAAAAACCTGGTGGCTGATCGACTTTTGCTTTAGAAGAGACTCATTTTGCGATGCGAACCGAAATGTTAGAGCACAGCTGGTGAACAGGGGAGTTATATCTTAGTCATTGGTGTTCTGTGATTCACTTCAGTCAAAAGAAAGAGATCAAAATATTCTGTTGTTTCAAGTCTGTTTTCCCGACAGTGCTTTCATACTTTGCTGGAGCCTGGAATGCACTGCCCTCCGTGCTTCTTGAGAAACGTGCGGTGTTGGTTTGCTGCGCCTCTTTAGACAAAGTTCGGAAATAAGTAGCATGGGTTCATCCCGAGGACTTTGTCTCATGTTGAAAAACAGGCAGGATGCATGATGGATTTGATCCCTTCTGGCTTTAAAACTTAAATTTTTTTACAAAATGCCTGAAGATTGACCCGATCTTGCAGAATAGCATGAGGATAATGCTTTCTTGAGCAAAAGTGAAACATTCGTTGGCTTTTTCGTGGTGATCAGAAGTAGCACATTTTCTGTGTGAAATCTTACAGGAAGAGTTCGTGAAGACAGATGTTTATCGTCGTCAGAGGTCTTGACCTCTAAATGGATAATATCACCAGATCCCTGTGCCTGTCCCCGCGGGAGACCGTTCAGTAATGCCTCCTAAGACCAGAGAATCTTTCTTTGTAGAAACAGCGGAGGAGTTGATCCTTAAAGTGGCTGAAGCCTGCACCCAGGGACGGCCAGGAGTAAGCCAGAAATAGAGTGCGATTA